TATTGAACCTTTGTATTGCTGTTTGTCCAGTTGTCCGGTTCTTTTTTAGCTTCAGTTTTAAATTGGCCACAACTAGGTGGTGATCTGAAGCTACGTCAGCACCTCTCCTGGTTCTCACATCTTCCATTGTCCTTCTGAATTTTTTGTTGATGCAAATATGATCTATTTGGTTCTCTGTAGTGTGGTCCGGTGAGATCCATGTAGCCTTGTGTATACGCTTGTGTGGAAATATTGTGCCTCCTATGACCAATTTGTTGAATGCACATAGATTTGCAAATCTTTCTCCATTTTCGTTTCTTTCTCCCAGTCCATGTCGTCCCATAATATCTTCATATCCAGTGTTGTCTATTCCGACTTTGGCATTTAGATCTCCCATCAGAATAGTTAGGTCCTTCCTTGGGCATTTCTCAATAACTGACTGCAGCCGCTGGTAGAACTGATCTTTAATGTCGTCGTTGCTATCATTTGTGGGTGCATAACATTGGATAATATTCATTAAGATCCCCTCCTTCTTTGTTTTGAATGATGCTTTGATGATTCTGGATCCGTGGGATTCCCATCCTACAAGTGCATTTCGTGCTAATTTGGACAGCATAAGAGCGACTCCCTGAGTGTGTGGAGCATTGTCCTCTTCGTGACCGGAGTATAGCAGCATCTCTCCCGTAGCTAGCCTTTTCTGTCCAGCTTGGGTCCAGTGGGTTTCGCTGATTCCCAGTACGGCTAAGTTGTATCTCCTCATTTCCAATGCTATTTGACTGGTCTTCCCATGATTTAGAGAAGCTGGGAAAATATATTCGTAGTATCTTACCAGATTACTTTAAAGGAGTTCAGGTAAAAATACTAATTAGAATAAGCAAGAGGACTGAGGACAATGTTGAACCCCGAACATGAAGTCTCCTTAAGGTAATCCTAGGATCGGAGAAGGAACGGGATCTCTTGTTAAGTAGCGCTCGTTGTCACGACAATTCCGATATACGGGTTAGACCTGATATGTCTCTCGAAGATAGAATAAAAAGGAAGAATGGATTAGCTGAACTAGAAACCCGTCGGTAAAAGGGTGAGGAAAATCTCCGGCTAGTGGGTTTTCGGATACTCAGGTCTTAGAAGCGAATGCTACCAAGGCCTGTGTGGATAGGTCGTTCTACTTAGGAGTTTTATATGCCAATGCTCGAAGTCTAAGAAATAAGTTCTATGAACTAGAAGCATTGGTGAACAGATTAAAGCCACTCATCGCAACAGTGACAGAAACTTGGTTAGTCCATGACTTAGATATTACACCAGAATTCAGATACCATTATCTTAGGAGTGATAGACAGATGTAGAAAAGGAGGTGGCGTCCTGTTATACATGACCAATAATATAAATATCGACTCCTCTGATAGCGAATCCCATGATAGTGGCACTTGTGAAGTCATTAGCCCTAAGTTGGCTATAGGATGTAGTACATTTATGCTCGGTGTCATCTATCGCAGCCCGATCTGCTTAGCTGATGACTTTATTTTAGAGCACATTCATCTTTGGTGTGCAAATACCAGATGCTTGATAATGGGAGACTTTAACGCACCTGATATTAGTTGGACTGAGATGACCACGGAAGGATTTGTAAACTCCTTTGATAGTAGGTTCCTGGTAACAATAATGGAGCATGCACTAGTTCAACATGTATCCAGACCCACACATTTTGGTGCTTAACAAGGTTCTTCTCTGTTGGACTTGGTAATCACTCATGATACTGAGTATATATACTCAGTCGACAATATATTGTCGACTTGAATATTCTCCCACTGTTAGTGAACAGCGATCACGCTGTTTTGTCATTCATGTTTAGAACTAGGGACATGTTATACGATCAGGTTACACCTAGCCCAAATGTATGGAAAGCTAACATATCAACCATTCAGGAATGCGCTACTAAGACAGATTTGTTAGTAGATACTAGGATATCAGTCGAAGAAGCATGGTCTGTATTTAAAGGTAAATTTAGACTAGTTACGTCCCCGTTCATACCATATCTGGTACCGCGAAGACCGAATAATAGTCCACCATGGATAACTAAAACGGTCAGGAAACTCCTTAGAAAAAGGAAGAATCACTGGGATATGTTCATCTCTACTGGCTTAGAACAATACAGATCCAGTTATTGTAAGATTAGGAATGCCTGTAAAGCGTTAATAAGTAAGACTAGACTATCATACGAAAAACAATTGGTTAGGGATTCTAGATATAGTCCGAAACGGTTATTCTCGTATATAAAAAGGCGAACTAAGAGAAGTGATGGAATTCCATCACTTTTGATACGAGAAAATCCGTTAATCTTAGCAGACAATGATGCCAAAAAAGCTGAAGCATTATGGAAATACTTTAGTAAAGTGTTTTCTATCGGTAATGAGGAACGACCAATGATTCGTTGCGACCGTGACGGCTCGCTGATGGATCCTGTAGTCATTGAGAAAGATACTGTTTTAAGGCTACTCCAACATCTCAAACCTGATAAGTCCAGTGGTCCTGACGATATTCATCCTAGGATTATGAAAGCCATTTCACATGAAATTGCTGAACCATTAGCGATACTATTCGACATGTCTCTGAGACAGTCCAAACTGCCTAGAGACTGGAAAGACGCCATAATAAGTCCGGTGTATAAGGCTGGGGGTAGGGATTTAGTTAGTAACTATAGGCCCGTTAGTGCAGTTGTAAAACTGATGGGAAACGTCATTCGAATACCTGTTATAAACTATGTTGAATGGCATAATCTTTTCTCCAGGGAACAAAATGGTTTTCGGAGAGGCCTATCATGCTTGACAAATCTTCTCATTGCAAGAAAAGATTGGGCTGCTGCAAAAGATCGGAATATTCCTGTGGATGTGATTTTCATACATCTAACTAACTAAGGCCTTCGGCAGATTCTCCCACTCTGGTCTTAAATTCAATCTGGAACGTTTTGGAATCCATTACACAGTCGTAGACTGGATAAGTAACTTTCTGGTGGAGTTTTGTTCTCTGAGCTGGATGGTTTGGTCGACAAACCATCCAGCTCAGAGAACAAAACTCCACCAAAATCATCCACCTGAGCTACAAATCTTCTCCACCATCTTAAGTAACTTTCTGCATGACAGGAAACAAAGGGTAAGGGCAAATGGAGCTCTCTCCTCTTGGGTACCTGTAAAAAGTAGAGTTCCCCAAAGTACAATCCTCGGTCCATCCTCCCTCTTGAAATGCTATCACATAGCCAAGCGTATATAGCCTCTGCCAGGGAAGTCTTACTCATTGCATTCTCGTGGCGAATGTCCGGAGGAGGATATTGAATATTCACTTGAAACATAGAATACTTGGTTAACTTTTCCTCACCTTGGTTTGAAATTTTTACTAGTTTTATTCTACTCTATTGATAAGAATTTTGGCAACTCAGAATAATTCAGTAATCTGCTACGTTATACTTCGTTTTGCTTAGTCTAATTATATTACACATACATACCATGTATGCGAAGCAATTGTGAACAGAATTTGTAGCTCAAGGTGAGGATTTTGAAGGTGTTTCGTCCTCTTAGTTGGGTGGTTTAATTGTGACGCTTTTAGCGTTTTTTTTTAAAAACTCTTCTCAACTCTGATGCCCCCAAATGCCCTGGTACGGCCGAGAGTGAGGAGAGTCCGCTCTCCCTCTCGAAATACTCTCACACGGCCACGCGTATATAGCCTCTGCCAGGGAAGTCCTACTCACTGCCTTCTCGTGGCGGGAGTGTTGTTTACGAAAATGAGAGGACAAAAAGCGAATGTCCGGCGCTTTAACCGGATTCCAAACCAATGGTGCATATGGGCTCCAGTATCCTGGGGGAACAAATGGCGAATGAACCAATTGTTGGTCACCGGCTTCCATGGGACTGCATCTCCTTACGATGCTCCACTGCCTTGTGGATCAGACCTTCAGGTCGAAGGCTCGGGTTGTGGCCCCCTAAGAAAACCATCTGCTTCGGTTTGGGCACCCGGGCAGTATCACAGCCCTCACACATATCGAATGAGATTTGTGTGGCTCATATATATTTGGTACCTCTTTGTACCAATATCTATGTGTTGAAATAAAATAATTACTTTATGTAAATGAATTACCAACTGTAGCAAAATCATTCATCCTACTTTTCGCTGATGACATAAAGATTTGGAGACCCATACACATTATTTCGGATAGGATAGTATTACAGAATGATCTTAGCTTATTGGTGGCATGGTTGGATAGGTGGTCACTAGAAGTAAATCCTAATAAGAGTGTAGTGATGCAAATAAATAACTGTAATGAATCGTATCACTACACAATAGGTGGATTTTCGCTACACAAAGTAAGAAACTATAAAGATTTAGGAGTCATAATAGGCAGTGATCTGAAAACCGCTAGTCATTGTAAGGCTGCTGCTGCAAAAAGCTATAGGGTTTTATGGTCTATTCGTAGGTCTTTCCAGTATTTAGATGATGAAATGTTTAGATTATTATACCCGATTTACCTGCGACCACATTTAGGATATGGGATTCAAGCAGCAAGTCCTTGTTTCAAGTATCAAACAGAGATGCTGGGAATAGTCCAGTGACGAGGTGTTAAGATGGTTCAAGGTCTATCTGACCTATCTTATGAAGACAGACTGAGACACCTCAACTTATTTCCGTTATCTTACCGTAGAGTACGGAGTGATCTAATATTGGCTTATCGTATACTGAACAATGACCTTGGTATTAACATGTCTTATCTTTTACTTCCGTTCAGGACTGATCCCTTAAGAGGACATTAGAAGAAAGTTCAAAAACCGAGATTAAATGGTTTACGTCTGTAGTTTCGTTTCTCGCAGTGGATTACTGGAATTCTCTACCGGATCACGTAATATCAGCACCTTCCGTTGAAACATTCGAAACGATATTGGACCTTTACAGTATCACAAGCTGCAAGGATTAATATAGATAGAGAGACCTTTTATCCTGATTACTGAGGACTGAATTATTTGATTTTGAAGCGCGGTATTCGAAGGTTGCGTAGCCTACATACAACCAACTGTTTATCGGCCTATTTGTGATGGCAGAGAGCTCGTCTTGGAGTTTTGATGAAGCTGATTTGTCTGCATGTTTCGATGACACGATGAACGGCATCGGCGTAGGCGTACGATCTATGTTTAATATGCGGTAAGTTCTCTATTTTAGCATCTTTGAGGGGGAGTATTGTCAATACCTGGGTAAATTAGGTTAAGAGTGCTACACATAAGTTTTATTTTCCCAACTCATCAAGAACAATGCATCTTTCTATCAATTTACTCATGTCCTCTGCACAAAATCTGCCGAGACGTTTGAATGATTTTGCACAGAATAAAATAAGCTTTCGCGGCGAGACTCTAATTTAAGGACGACCTTTGAACGAATCTTAAATGACCTTGACAATTATTAGACAATCAGGAGACAGTAACTATAAAGTGAAAATATATTGTAAGTTAGTAATGAATTACAGTGGATATTCTTTTTTTACATGATTTAAAAACTTGTTAAGGTTTCATAAAGGTTCAGAGGTTCTGAATTCATAATGCATATGGTATAGAAACTCGTCCATAGGATTAGGGTTTAGGTAAGGGTTGTAGCATCGCAATAAACACCTCTTCTATAAAATCCGATGTAAACAGATCGCATGTTAGCACCCTAACTCCTAACCTAAACCCTAACCTTAACTCTAACCTAATCCTAACCTTAACTCTAACCTAAAACCTAACCTAACCCTAAACCCGAACCTAATCCTAACCTTAACTCTAAACTAACCCTAAACCCTAACCTTAACCCTAATCTTAAACCTGATCCTAGCCTCTAACTCTAAACCCTAACCCTATGGACGAGTTTCTATACCATATACATTATGAATTCAGAACTTCTGAGCCTTTATCAAACCCTAACAAGTTTTTAAGTCAGGTAAAAGAAGAATATCTCCTGTAATTCATTACTTTCTTGTAACAATGGAAATTTAAGTATTGTCCCGTCCAAGTTGGTTTCCATAGTTTCTGTCCATTGCAATACAAGAGAGGTCTAGTTAAGTGCCTCTTTAAGAGGACACGAAGAATATGTACCTCTGATATGGTGGAAAAAGACGAAAAGTTACTGACTGACACTTTAATAGCTAATGGTTATCCACTCAAGTTTATTAATAGGTGCAAAAGTCAGTTAATGCCAAGACCTCTAATTTATTCAGCGCCAAAGAAAAAGGTTTACATCAATCTACCATATAGAGGTGAATCAAACAGTATAGTTTTAAGACAGAGATTGAAAGCAGCCATTGAGAATACGTAATATGCTGCTCAGTTGGTTGTGATTGAAAAGTCTAAGGCCATGATTCCTAATAGACCTAAACAATGCATTAATGATTACGTCACATCCCATTGTATTTACCAATTTACATGTTTGTGTGGACACACGTACATAGGGAGGAGTAATCGAACAATGCAATCAAGGGTCAATGAACATGTGCCCAGATGGCTTCAAAATCAGTGTGTGTCAAATGACCCGATCAATGTAGGAGGTAGAAAACCAAGTTCATCGATAGCAAAACACATAATTGAAACGGGGCACAAGATTGACATTAATACAGCATTTAGAATGTTGTATAGAAATTGTCAAGGTCGAATTCTTAAGTTTATTGAAGCCTTAGCTATTCGTAAATTTAAACCCCCCTTATGTGTACAAAAACAATTTGTCGTAACCTTGAATTTACCTTGGTAATCCTTGTCATTCTGTGGCCTAAGATAACACGACAATTTCTTATTCTTTCTCTCCCCTTAGTTATTTTAATTGTACTTTTATTCGTTTGACCTTTATTAATTTTCATATAAAAATGCCTTGATAAGTATATGTGTGACCAGATTGTTCGAAATGTATAGCGCAAATACATCAAATTTTTAAGATCAACTCCTTCTTATCATTATTTTATCGAAATTTATAAAAGGGACTAATTGCTTTAATATATTTTTACTTTATATTGTCTTCTGATTTGCTAATAATTGAAATTGCTCAAACGCTTCTGATTGGCTCGTCTCTAAATTAGAGTCTCGCCATCCCATCTGTTGTAACCTCTCATTAATCACCTACTCTCTAAAATCCGCTGTGAACCGATCGTATGTTGGCATCGCGTGTTGAACTTGGCTTCGTGACCTTGAAATTGCTCAGACGCTTCTGATTGGTTCGTCCCTAAATTAGAGTCTTGCCGCTTTCGCTTAACAGGCATCCGTATATAGTAACAATGGATAACCGATACCATAAGATTGATGAAGGTTTAAACCTAGGCATATTTAATGATAAATGAGAAAAACGTCAGTAAATTATAACGAGATACTGTCCTTAGTCCCTAACAATATGTCAAGTTCTCTCTTATAGGACTCATTGGAAGCCGCTTGCACTAGCTCAGAAGGCAGAGAATTCCAGCATCTGATTACTCTCAGCGAGCAGGTGTGCCTATGTTCGTTCTGCTATATTGTGTCTCCAGTTTCTTGGTGTTATCCCTGAGGTTTGTGTTGGGGCTGAGCCTAAGTAAGCATTCAAGAGGATGTCCAGAATTGTTTATGATGCTGTAAGTCATTGAGAGGTCACCTCTAAGACGCACATACTCTGATGAGTAAAGATTCAGTGAATTGAGGCGTTTTTCATAAGGCTTGAATTCGGGTCTCCGAACTGATTTCGTGACTCGCTGTTCGAATGTATACTTATCATTTTGGAATAAGAAACGGAATACTATACTTTGGGCATACATAATCGGCTGCAGTCAGTCAGAGAAATGCTTAAGAAAGGACCTCACCATTCTAATGGGAGATCTAAATGCCAAAGTCGGAATAGACAACACTGAATATGAAGATATTATGGGACGAAATGGACTGGGAGAGAGAAACGAAAATGGAGAAAGGTGAGCAAATCTATGTGCATTCAACAAATTGGTTATAGGCGGCACAATATTTCAACACAAGCGTGTACACAAAGCTACATGGATCTCACCGGACCACAACATAGAGAACCAGACAGATCATATTTGCATCAACAAAAAATTCCGAAGGACAATGGAAGATGTGAGAACCAGGAGTGGAGCTGACATAGCTTCAGATCACCACCTGGTTGTAGCCAATTTAAAACTGAAGCTAAAAAAGAACTGGACAACTGGACAAACAGCAATACAAAGGTTCAATACAGCCTTCCTTCGGCTCCAATGAATCCACTGGACATCGAAACAGCACACACAGATCTTCCCATAGAGGTCAACCTACCAACGAAGGAAGAAATCAGAATGGCCGTCAGACAAACCAGGAACGGGAAAGCAGCGGGACCCGACAACATACCAGCTGAACCACTGAAGTCAGACATCGAAGTAACTACAAACATGCTTCACTCTCTATTCAGAAAGATTTGGGAGGAGGAACAGGTGCCGATGGGCTGGAAAGAAAGACACCTCATCAAGATACCAAAGAAAGGGGATCTGAGCAAATGTGAAAACTCCAGAGGCATCACACTACTGTCAGTACCAGGGAAAGTTTTTAACAGAGTATTGCTGAACCGGATAAAAGATGTAGTAGTAGACGCCCAACTTCGAGATCAACAAGCTGGATTCCGTAAGGATCGATCGTGCACAGACCGAATTGCAACACTACGGATCATCGTCGAACAATCAATTGAGTGAAACTCGTCACTATACATCAACTGCATTGATTATGAAAAGGCATTTAACAGTGTAGACAGGAAGGCGTTACGGAAACTTCGACACTATGGAGTTCCTGGAAAGATTGTCAACATTATCCGGAACTCACACGACGGAATACAGTGCAAGGTCGTGCATGGAGGACAGCTGACAGATGCATTCCAATTAAGGACTGAAGTCAGACAAGACTATCTGCTCTCTCCCTTTTTTCTTTCTTCTGGTGGTCGACTGGATTATGAAGATCAGGGCCGCATTCCTACAATTGAAGAACATATGGAACTCAAAACAACTGTCTGTCAACCAATATCAAAGTGAGAATCTTCAATACGAACGTCAAGGTAGTTCTACTGTACGGAGCTGAAATTCGCAGAACTACTACAACCAACATCAAGAAGGTACAAGTATTTATAAATAGTTGTCTACGCAAGATACTCAGCATGCATTGGCCGGATACCATCAGCAACAGTGTTCTGTGGGAGAGAACAGACAAGCTTGTAGCTGAAAAAGAAATAAGTAAACGACGATGGAAATGGATAGGACATACATTAGGAAAATCATCAAACTGCTTCACGAGGCGAGCCCTATTTCGGAATCCTGAAGGGAAGCGGAAGAGAGGAAGGCCAAAGAACCCATTACGTTTGGAAATAGAATCAGATATGAAAAGGATAGACAACAACTGGAAGGAGCTGATAAGGATTGGCCAGGACAGGGTTGGATGGAGAATGCTGGTGGTTGGCCTATGCTCCTTCACGAGGAGTAACAGGAGTAAGTAAGTAATTAAGTATCATTAAATATGCCTAGGTTTGAACCTGATGGTATCGGTGATCCACTGTTACCATATACAGAAGCCTGTTAGGCGAAGGCTTCCATCCTTTCCAGTGGCCTCTGATCGATATGAAGATCTTAGAAAAATTTAGGATGAATTTTCGGAAGCTTTAATTTTTACATATTTTTTCTCAATTACAATACTCCCTGTTTTTCAAAGCCAAATTTTACTAATGTGTTGAAATATCCTTTGCGTTTTGGGTACTGTTTACCTCCATCATTACTAAGTTTCGTGGTGCTCCTAAAAGCCGAACTAAGTGGTATATCGGTTTGTCATTTAAGACTGCATCCTTCTTGGTTAGTGATGATTACTATCTTTTTCTACAGTGTAACTTGTTTGGTAGTCTTTTATATGTCGCTATTTTTTTTGACGAGGAGATATAAGTGTCTGGGACTGCTCTTAATGGTTATGGGTTGCTTGTAACGATGAAAAATGTATCACGTGGTAGTTTACTTCATAGCTTTATTTATAGAACCTTTTTAGCTTTTGACATTAAATGTATCATGATAGTGTTCGTTGGTTATTAATGTGTTATTTATGAGTGCTATGTACGCTTTCTGATATCTACGTTAGCGTTCCGTAATTTATTCTAATATCTTTATGCAGAAAACTGAATGGTTTTCGTGCAAAAATCGAGTATTATACGGTGAAACAATAATAATCACCCATACAGTTACTTCTAATATTGCACATCTCACAGTGGAAACACTACATATTGTTGTGAAAGGCTCTTACCACCATAAGGTGTCGCTAATTAATACATGGTAATATACGATAAATGAGGCTTATTTAACAACGAATCGTGTGTGATCGTTGCTGTTTCAATAATCGTGAGTTCCTTAAGTCATTGGAAATCAATGAATTTTGAAGAGGTTATAATAGTTGGTGGGCGAGTACTTGCAAATTGCTTCAACGTGTCCTAAAAATTTCCTGGCATTAAGTAAACTATGTTATCAGCGAAGTGGAAAACAGCTGTCAGATTTTCATTAATTGAATTCTTTTGTAGGTTCTCCATAGCTAATTGTAATACATATTTTCAAAGAAAAGTATGTGCTGTTATTATGTTTATGTAGCGCTGGTTCAGTGGTTAAAGATTCTGGATTTTGATTATTAGGTGTCAAGTTCATAATCCTCTCCACCTACGCCTGTTCTATCAGCTGGATAGTACCGCTAGTTACACAAGTAAGGTAGCGTAAAGTAGCTGATAACTAAGTACCCTGCATGTGAACTTAATCAGGCTTCAGTAGTTTTATTAATCTAAGATGCATAGACTACTGTTCTTTCGCTTAATTGGAAAATTAATATTTCAATCAACTAGGAGTGGGACTGACAAGATGCTATAATATCCTTTTTATTTTCATTTTTACTTGAACCATTTTATGTAGTGACGCTCTATCAGCTTTACCACTCTGTAATGATGAAAGTAAGCTTTCTGATGATTCAAACCATGAAGGTTTATCAAATTTCTCTATGTTGTCTAGTAATTCGGCGCAGACTGTGTAAGTTTTAGTTCTCATATTATTCGTTTTATTCCTATCATGTCATTTGGTATAATTTATTTCTAAGACATTTTCGGTATCATTTTAAATAATAAATATCTACGTTCCTAACAAGTCTGTACATAGAATTAATAAGCATAAGCATTCCAAAAAGGTATCTAGGTGATGATAAGTTGCAGTGAGTCTATGGTATTTAGTTAGCCTCTGGTAGTGACGACGAAGTCTTTTGATTAGCATATTGGTACTTTGAAATTACAAGGAAGGGTTTTGGTATTCAGTCCTCTTATTTTAGTATTTTTTGGCATGTATATACACTTGTTATTACAAATAAAAGTCATCAGTCACCAAATTAAGGTGAAGCACCCATTAGCAACGGATAAAATCAATAATATTTCTCCATAGTTTACCAACTCAATCAAAAATTTCATCGTTCACTATTCGTATGCGAAAGAATGCAACATGACAATACGTGACCTATCTACTTGATATTATCAGTTTAACATATCGAAAGTTTAAGAATTCATGGGCCAAAAAGATATCAAGTTTAAATCTAATAGTTCAGTAGTAGAATAATAGGTAAATATGACAACTTTCTATTTAAGAGTCCATCAAAGTTTAATAAAAATCCTGACTAGTATTTGAAAACTGAGTCAAATAATTTAAGAGAGCCGTGGTGTGATTTTTTCATAATCTAAAAGGTTGATTTACTTCCGTTTTTCTTATTTCGTTGGATCAAATTCATATCTTCAAAGTAATCAATGCATATTTTATTTCATTGCCTTGCTTTTTGAATGTGTTTTGTTCTTTAAGGTGGACGGTTTAATCGTGAAGCTTTCATTGTCTTTCTCGATGACATCATCAGAGTTGTTTATTTATTTATTTATTTCAACACATAGATATTGGTACAAAGAGGTACCAAATATATATGAGCCACACAAATCTCATTCGATATGTGTGAGGGCTGTGATACTGCCCGGGTGCCCAAACCGAAGCAGATGGTTTTCTTAGGGGGCCACAACCCGAGCCTTCGACCTGAAGGTCTGATCCACAAGGCAGTGGAGCATCGTAAGGAGATGCAGTCCCATGGAAGCCGGTGACCAACAATTGGTTCATTCGCCATTTGTTCCCCCAGGATACTGGAGCCCATATGCACCATTGGTTTGGAATCCGGTTAAAGCGCCGGACATTCGCTTTTTGTCCTCTCATTTTCGTAAACAACACTCCCGCCACGAGAAGGCAGTGAGTAGGACTTCCCTGGCAGAGGCTATATACGCGTGGCCGTGTGAGAGTATTTCGAGAGGGAGAGCGGACTCTCCTCACTCTCGGCCGTACCAGGGCATTTGGGGGCATCAGAGTTGAGAAGAGTTTTTAAAAAAAAACGCTAAAAGCGTCACAATTAAACCACCCAACTAAGAGGACGAAACACCTTCAAAATCCTCACCTTGAGCTACAAATTCTGTTCACAATTGCTTCGCATACATGGTATGTATGTGTAATATAATTAGACTAAGCAAAACGAAGTATAACGTAGCAGATTACTGAATTATTCTGAGTTGCCAAAATTCTTATCAATAGAGTAGAATAAAACTAGTAAAAATTTCAAACCAAGGTGAGGAAAAGTTAACCAAGTATTCTATGTTTCAAGTGAATATTCAATATCCTCTTATGTAACTTTCTACAACTTCTGATCTGAACCATGTTATTAGATGCAGACTACTTGGTTGGGGTCCGCACGATTATCGTAATCAGCAGTTGAAGACTGTGAGTGACATGACTCAGAATCGATTACAATGGTATAGGTGTATACACTCTTTGTCTTCCCTTAAACCGTGAGATTAAAATTACTTTATACTTTTCTTCGAACTAATTCTTTCTCCCTGTATTATATCTCTATACTTAATGTTTATTTTTGAATATTACTACGATTGAAGTAATTGCATCTATGAATTTGGTGTTCATCTCGTTATGCTAATGGACCGATGCATACATGTGCTTGGTCCTACGTTGTAGCTGACTGACTATGAAACCCTCAATTTGTTTGATATTGTGTGGCCGTCCTAAAAGTGCTCCTTTTTCTGTTTCGTTTGTTCATTACTAAGTACTAACAATTCATGTTATAACCGAATGACTTTTAGACTGTTTTAGTTTTCATTTTATTCGATTTTTGACTTAGTTATGCTATCGAAATTAACCTTAATTTGCATAGCGAGTTTAAATGTGCAATTAGTTTTTGAAGTTTGCCTGTTTAATAATATGTTTCTTTAATATTTCCGCTTAGTGACAATACTTTTATTTCAATGGCTGATACAAACTCTCATTTGTTTGATAACATTTTGAAAGCTCCAACGTCATCGGCTACACGATTAGGTGAAGCGTCTTTAACTTACTTAAATCAAGGTAAATATTATCATTTATATTGGTCTTCGTTCTATTGTGTTGATTCAGTTTATTTCTATATTATTGAATCTGTATATTATTTTCCATATATACTTGTTTCCAATCATTTCCTCTTCTGTAAAAATAATTCTTATTCCTTTCACATGGTTCCACTCTTTGAACAAGTCATATTGTTGCTATTGGGAAAGTACAGTGCGGAATAATTGGAATACTGTTGTAAAAATGGAGACATTTTCTACATTGCTTCTAGCAAAATGTTAAGTAGTTTCACAATTAGCAGATGAATGTGGTCTTAGAACAGCTATAAAACACCCGTAAAATATTTTAAAAAAGTTTCCTGTTATGTATGTTGGAAAGTTGTATGATGCTGATTAAGGAAATAACCATGAATTTTGTATATTATATTCAAAAAATTATACTACAGTGTAAAACATTTGTGTCAATAGCTTACGCTTATAATTGTTTGGTAAAGTTATGCTGTAATTCAATCAGTGATTTACAGTGTGAAACCTAGAAAAAGTGGTTATCATTTCTAGTTGTCACAATTTTTAGCCATCACACTTAAAGTGTGACTCAAAGCCACATACATAGAAATATCTAGATGATGAATAAGTTGTAATAATTTTGTATCCGAAGTAGATAAAACTTTTGGTAAATTCTGGGAACTATTTATAGATTTCATATAGTGGGGGCTGAGATTGCGTTCTAGATTCAACGGGTAGGGTTTAATGAGAAGGACCAATAAAGACTCGGAGTTGATTCTAGGCTGCTCGTGCTGGTTATCACATCATTGGTTTGACACAGTAACAAGGTCATCTAAGTCGATATTCTGATGAGCGATCTTATTACGTGATAATTGATAGGGAAAAAGTCATAGCAAATCTCGTCAGAGAGTTTCTCACTATTGACTTCCTTGATTCAACCGATCACAGATTTTTCACCAGAACTTTCAGTAGCTTCATTTCAAAATAATCGGTCACTGAAGAATATAGCACAACTATTATTTATGCAGCTGATTCGTGGATGTCTCCATAATTTGAAGATAATTCTTATCATGAACTATCATTAGATAATAAATATTTAATAGTGATAAGTGAATAACCTTGGCTACGCTAATTGACGTGATACACGTTAAAATGCCTAATTCAAAGCATATTAATTTGTATACATATTTATATATAACATTCTTTTGATAGTGTTGAGTTCTCCGAGCTGGACAGTTTAGTTGTAGAGCTTTCATTGTCATTCTAGACATTTTAGACACCTACTTCATTTAAACCATCTAACTCTGAGAATTAAACACTACTAAAACATCCTTTTGAACTAAAACTTTTCTTCATCACTTTATAGTCTATTCTGTCAGGCTTATCCCGTACTTATATTCTTATAATTATTTGCAGGACAAACGTATGAGCTTAAATTGAACTTGAAAACACCAGAGATAAAATTTATCAAGGTAATTCGTAGTAATTATATATATGCAGTGGAAATTCGTATATTTCATATCGTTTTAAAACTCCACTTCATGTTCGTTATTGTTACTATAGTTTATATTTTTTCTGTTGTTGACATTCTTGAACTAAATTCAATCAATTTATGTCTATACATAATCGCTTGAAGTGGAAACCTCGATGTCATCTGTCTCAACAAATTGATTAAATGTTTGGATAGTAATTGTCAGTGCGTTTCATTTCATTCACTGAGATCAAGGCTGTGACATCTAGCACAATGTCACGCCTACGTGGATTAGTCTTGATTTTAGATAGACCAATCAATTTATTCTTTTTGAGTCAGTATCCACACTTATTTTGACCTTATCAGTTGTTCACTTATAACTTTATTTGAGTGTATATGTGTGTATCGATGATTCTATTTTTCATGTTTTTAGCTTTTTCTACCTGACCATAAACAGCCACGCTTTGTCTAATTGAGTTAGTACGCTTACTTTTGCTTCACTTTCGTATTTTTCGTCTTGTTGTGTAACTGAATAGACAAATGACTGGAACATATTCTCCCAACTTAATTATTATTTGGCTTTTTATTACCGCTGTCACCCAAACGGGGTTAGCCTATGTACAATATTCGAAATCGAACGGTGAATTTATATTCATGGTTTATCAATTAATTCGTTCATAACGGGATCATATTGTGAGCTTGGAGAGCAACTAGACATGGCATTACTACAATCCACTTAGATATTTGTTGTGAACTGAAATAGGATAGTTGAGAGCGATTATTCTAATACTCAGTGGGATCTATGTTAATTGGATAGACAGGACAAATATTACACAACACGGTAAAAGTATATTATACTGACGATCTTGGGAAATTTATAAGCTAATCAGGAAAGGCTGCATAATTCTGAAACAGTTAACAATAAAAAGCAATAGAATAACAGTTTCTTGATTTAGTATTCATATATACGATGCTTTTTCATGTGAAATTCCCATTTAATTGTGAACTATTTTTACTAGCTCACTGCGAAGATTTCCGTCTTTTTGTTTCCATCAATGAGTTTTTGATATTTGGTTGTAATTATGTTGACATGGCTCAAAATCGTTTGCAATGGCGCAGGTGCATCCACTCTTTGTGTTCTCCCAAATTCTAATCTCCTGAATCCTCCTTGTCTCTTTTTTCTCTTTCCAAATTTATTTCACTGGATTATACTCCTTGAGTAACATCTTCAAATCCGAATGTTCCCGATTACTGCTTATACTCCTCTTACTACCTCTACCACTATGGGATTTGAATCAATAACTGCATCTCTGTGCTAATGTGGTATGGCAACTTGAACTGATGTACGTACGTACGAAGTTCTACGTTGTTACTGACTGACTGACTGTTAATTTTCAAGCCTTTACGACGTTGCTTATATCAGTTTATTTCTTTTACATCTATACGTCTTTATCTTTAATCTGAGCCTAATATTGTTTTCATTTTTTCTTTGTAGACATGGATTCGAGTTACTTTCTATGATAAACGGATGGAATTAAATGAACACGAGCTTTGGGATAACTGGCATCAAACACACCCTGGTGAAAACCTCCTAGACGTAGGTGAGCGTAATGATATTTCAGATTTCTACTTAAAGTTGTAGAATGTTTATGTTTTATTCGCATACAGATTGCTTTTAAATCTTCTTTAAGGTGTAATTCCCATCTATCCTTTTTCTAAACATATGTGTTCGCAAGCTATTAATCAAATAAATAAATATATAACGATAAGTTCGATGTAAGGGATATTTATTCCGGATTATACAGTCAATCGCCATCAAATATTTCAAGTGGTCCATACAAAAGTAGAGCTGTTATTTCATTGTTTAAACATCGCACTTTCAACTTTCGGACCATATATCAAACTGATTGATTGATAGACAGAAACACAGTTAATGTATAGCCGGCAAAGTTGGTTGTTGATCCAAGTCACCGTTCCTCACAATAACACAATATAAAGAAGTTAATATGATGAAAAGCAAATGAATAAATATACCAATGGTTGTGTCTCGAGTAACAAAACGACAATGCCTAATAGCACAAGGGCGATGGCTACATTAGGTTTTAGTTGTAATCACGAATGATAGGTTATGATGTTCTAAGGACTTCATGTTTTCTAGCTTAAAACCAATTGATCGCCTAAATTACTGTCCACTATCTAAACTCTTCTTAAACATCTCTTAAAAGTTTGAACGTACACAGAATAATGTAATTAAACAGTAGTTATAGTTTTCATCATTTGATTTCAATGAACATATCTAAACTAGTCAATTTTTACGAGTCCACCAACTTGGATAAAATGGCTTTATTAAACCCATTTACATGCATTTGCTTTGTTTCATATTATCTGCACATTACTCCATCTAGCAGTGGAGCTGAAAAACCAAAACGTAGCGTCAGTCATTCAAGTCATTCACTGTTGATTTGAATCATATCAAGAGGTAAAGTTTTTTTTAGCTTCGGTTTGTGAAACCTCAGGACATTTATTCTTTATCACCTATGTCTAAGTTTTTTTTCCATTACAATGGATACTATTATCTCGAATAGCGCAAAAAGTCCTATGTGAGTTACGCCGCTTTCTGTGTTGAGTTGTAAGATAACCATATATATATATACGCGACTTGGATAAATTAAAAATTAGTAAGTATAATTCCACTCATATTGTTAAGTAAATCCTTATTTTTCTTCAAAAAAACCCATTTTAAAGATTATAAAAGATCGAATGATTATGAAGAATTAGATAATGAAAATACTCCATCAGATGATATATCATGTATATGGAAATATCCGAAATGTACTATTGGTTTACGATTTAATTGTGTCAGTACTGAATTCACTGCTAAGAAACATGGTGGTGAAAAAGGAATTCCTTTTCGATTTCGGGTAAGTTGATTTTTATTAGTTTATGCAGATAGTTGAATTTCTTTGTTTCATGTAAAAAAAATTGGTCGTAGACAGTCATTAGAAGCCTGGAAGCACAAGTCTGTTATTTCATTCATGTATAGGATTCCTCGACCCCGCCAGGAATCAAATCTAGAACCTTCTCATCTCAAAGTGGGTGTTAATTTACAGACCATTGGATTAACACCCAATGATTCATATTTCTAGCTTCAATCAATCCTTGGTATTGCGAGAGATGATTCTCAGAGATCTAGTGAGCTATATTTAACCAGTAAAATTCAACCATATCGGAAATGAGGCAGTGGTTTGTCAATGACATTGGATGATATTTGAACAGTATCGCTAATTGATTAAAGTTGGACAATTAAATTCAGTCTAGTTAGCTTAAAGTTTGAGGGTTTTCAATGTAACCTGGTCTTAGGTTCGACCTTCAATCGAGTTGTGAATACGTACTGCTAAAGAGATCCCTTACTAGGACGATAAGATTGTACAATGATTCTTGACTTTCAGTAGTTGTTTAACAAAGGTGGGTTAGTGATTTGAACTATGAAATGTTAATTTTGTTTAATTTTTGCAATTTCATTTTCTAAAAACGATGTACATTATAAAGGTTTGAGGGTTTATGTCAACCATAGACTTAATCACTTCCTAACTTGCACTCCAGTTTGTAAATTTATTTAGCTTCCCTAGCTCTCACCTAAACTGCCTAATAGTCAGGTATATAAGTGTGTACTTAGTAAAAGTTTTATATATCTCTTAACAATGTAATTTAAAAATAGACGACATCAACGAATAACATAAGATTGTTTGTTTCTAGTATTTATGGTATTTAATTAAATTAGTTCATTACAATATTACAATATATTACAATATTCTCGTCGGGATATAACAGTGTATACACTCTTTGTCTTCCCTTAAACCGCGAGATTAAAATTACTTTATACTTTTCTTTGAACTAATTCTTTCTCCCTGTATTATATCTCTATATTTAATGTTTATTTGTAAATATTAATACAATTGAAGTAACTGCATCTATGAATTTGGTGTTCATCTCGTTATGCTAATGAGGTGTGACAACTTGGACCGATGCATACGTGTGCTTGGTCTTACGTTATAGCTGATTGACTGACTATCTAACCGTTTGTTTTAATAGTTTAATTCGGGGATTATTTTTTACAAAAAATCTTTAGGTAGAACATTTTGAATATGATACTAATCAACATTTGGGATCATTCGCTTGTCAAATTAAAGTATTCAAAATGAAGGGAGCTGATCGTAAGCATAAAACAGATCGAGAAAAAATAGAGCGTAAATCTGGTGATGGTCAAGTAAATGCATTTTGAATATAATTTGTGATTTCTCGATTTTAACTTTCACCTTTTTTCCAAACGTTCATTAAATTAACGGATAGCATTAATATAGAATCATTGTAGAGATGACAAGCTCTTGTAAAACCTTTTGTTTGGGACTCATTAATGTACTTTGTTGGCCTATACGACCTTCACGCTTCGTAACGTTCATGTTATTATCAACCCAGTCGATTGTTATCTGATGAATAGTATTTTATGTTTCAATCACACAATACCCGATGTAGCGCGAACACCACGTAGTGCGACTAATAAATACTCTTGCTCGTTGAAGTTTCGAGATATCAATCATTCGATTTTGTCGTACTATTATCAGTGACGACGTTTCCATCACCTGACCTGAAAGTTCCAAAGCGTCTATACTACTAATTATTTTCTTTTCTCTTTTTTGTCGAAATAAACTAAAAAAATCTGGAACTCGTATTATATACAACAAAGTTCATTATTTAAATGCCAGTCAATTATATTCGACGTTTGAACTACAATAAATGTGCACCGAGTCAAATTACCGTACATCAATACAACAAAACGAAATCTTAAGGATCAATAAAAAAGCAGTAGCAGTGGTACTAGTAATCCTATTCTAGTAATAATATGTTCACCAGTGACTAACCTCATGATGCAATCTCCCAAGTTCCAGTGAGAAGCCGTGACCAATGGAGTTCAACCATTTTGGGTGTGAGACAGTTTTCCACCTCAGGCAATGGATGATAATTGCACAATATCGTGAATTGATTGAAGTTAGACATTAATACCATTAGATGCTGGGTCAGTGGTTTAGAGTTTAAGCATTTGCATGCGAGATCTAACGTCCTGGCTTCGGATCCTTGATGCGAGGTTGTGAATGCCCACTGTTGGAACGAAATGGTCGTCTAGTGCTTTCTGTTTTTCACTGGTAGTCTAGCTAAGTTCAGTTCGTGATTTAAAACTATGAAAATTCTACAGTATCCACAAATTCTCCTATTTTAATAATCAGTTTCATCATTATTAACCAAAAAGTCTACATAGATATTATGATTTAAGAGGAATGATTTAGTTCAGGGAATTATAAGCATAAAATAATTTTGAAACTCATGATCTTACAGTGAGTATAAGTACTCCACTGCGACTAATTGTTAATCATCTCATTTTATTATCGTAAGTAATTAACATTATTTTATGTTGTCTCCAGGCTATTTATAAACCATCAGTTCCTGTGACTAAATTATCATATTTACCTAGCAAACAAGTTAAATTATTTCATAATCACCATCATAACCATGGTTATTATCAATCGATAACAGAAAAGCAGTCGGCGATCGACGATACTTTCACAGAGCAATCGATAAAAGTGACAAATACACAAATTCTTACCACTTCCGCTACAATAGCCACGTCTGTTTGCAATAATTCATGCCAACAATTTAAAGTAGACATGAGTAGTTTGGATTTACAGAAGTAAGTTACAGTTTGACTGTTTGGTACTAAATGGTTTCATGGAAATCCTAATTTTCTTTCATATTCGAGTAATTGAAGCATTTCATTTACTGTCATTAATATCCTCCTCGATGATAAAAAACTGGCTTGAAATCTAGAAATTTACCGCTTCATCAGGTGTACCGGGTTTGTACACTTCACTCTGGTCTCATTGATTTCCATATGGTTTCATTCGAAGAAGTAGTTGTCTCAAATATAATCTTGACTTATTCCATCCAATTATTTATCTATTATCCTCAATGATTATATGAGGGTGATCATAGATTGGGGTGTGGGTCAGTGGTTGAGAGGTTCGACTTTCAGCCAGCAAGTTCTCGATTCGAACCCCTATTGACCTATTTCGGTTTGGACAACCGGTTAATATTACTATCCCTCACATTTAGAGTGTGGCTCAAATCCAAGTATGCAAAGTTGAACCTAGTAAATGAGTTAATGATAATAAATAGGGTAAAAAGAAACCATTACCAGTTTTTCCTACTTTTAATACATATTAAAGTTTAATGAGCTAGTGAGATTAACTACAGTTACGCACTTGACTTTCAGTCACAATTCCTATGTGAGGATTAGTGAAATAACTAAGTTCTAAGGATACAAATGAAATATTTCATCATATAGTACAATCCCCATGTTGACTATTGTTAATGGTGTTTCATGTTGCATGAATTTTAGATTAAATCGAAATAACTAATTTTTCAAGTTTCAAATTCAGAAATCTCAGTTACATTTTGATAACTTGCTTCGCATGTGGCTTTAGCTGAATCCATATCAACGAAATAATGAGTGTACTGTGCAGCATTCCGTTCCACATTACTCTATTGCTGTGAAGTATAGTCTATTAAAATAGAAGAGATGTTCATGCTGCAGGTTGTCCACTGTAGGTATCTTTGAATTATTGCTCACTTTTCATGGAATGACCACTATGTATTTGACTGAGAAGTTTTTTCGGGTGTGTATGGAGACTGGCAGTCCATCAAATTACTTAAGATTTGCATATCGTATTCCAATTATTTTTTTATTGGTTGTATCCATAGTTTGGCACGAGTGGAGAAAGCGGTGATGAAGGATAATTTTACACTAGAGGATTTAAATGATACAAGTAACAACTTTGCAATACCTAACCCAATCGAATCACCTAGTGCTTCCAATCAATCATTTTCGGAATTTGTTATACCTACTTACCCAATTAATCGTTCGGCATATTCAGCGTTAAGAAATGTATCTCCGGGTATATCACCTTCTCCATCTTCTAATAGGCGTTTTAATTATACTATACAGCCATGTCTTCAACGACGTAGACGTCTTCGAGCAGGAGACTGTTGTTCAGGGACTTGTTCATCATGTGGACGCAGTTGTCGAAGTGCTTCCCGATGGATACGAAGTAATAAAAATAGAATGATGTGCACAAACTGGGACAATTCAACAAATCGTGCCAAACAAGCCTCAGTGATTTCAGAAAGAAGGAGAGCTGCACATAGTTATGAAAACGGTTCCCATTTGACTGAATTCCCAAAGGTAATTATCCCTTTTAGCGTGAGAATAATTAATTTAGTGAAAGCAGATTATATACTACTATTGATTGACCCATAAAAATGTCAATTGTGTTAATGTTTTGTGTTTCTCACCACTGATATCTGCCGTTTTGTACCTTTTAACAACAGCGTATTGAATGATTTCACGTGATTTGTTAGCAATACAGATTTTCATTACTCTTGGGTTTGTTCTCCGGATTGTATCAACTTTCCTAAAGTCTCTCACAATTTTATATTCTTTACAAAACTTCTAATTTCTATATAGTGAAAATTCCCATTTTGCCATTCGGTAAATTAAGAAGGAACGAATTGAGCGAAGAAATTTCTTTTCAATTAGTTTTTCATCATGGCTCTACACTAATATATATACGTTTTACAATAATAATATAATACTCATCGAGTAGATATGTTACGTAATAATTACATAATGATATTTAAATTAACATTGATTAATTGGAAGAGGATTATTAATATTCAAAGTGATCAAGAAGTTGCTACGTTGTGTAATGTAAGAAACAAAGAAGGAACAGAATTTCAACGGATGGTCAATAGGATGGTAGTTACGTAAGAATCAAGAGATGAATGTTGAGAATTTATTAAGTTCAAAAGCAACAAACAAAATTACAAAAGTTAAAAAAAATGGAAGAAGTATGAAAAATAGTTCTTTTGAAGGAAATCTTAAACTGATGGCCAGGGCAGAGAAAGTGGTTGTACGAATCTCTTGAATGCAAAGGTCAGGTTTATGAACATGGATTGTGATGGCTTCCGCAATGTGCAAGAGGCGCACTCGTAAACCATGTGGCAAATTTGATGGGATATTGTAGATAACCTTAAAAGCTTTATTCAATTGGACTTGATGACCTGTGTCAACCAAGTGAGAGAGAATAGAACTTTTAATCACTTTTACCTGTCCTTTATTTAACAACGACGGATGATGTTCAGTAATGCGATGACGGACTTGCCGAATTGTACGCCCAATATAACTGGCTCCACAAGAGCAGTTGAAACGATAGATACACATATATTTGGCGAATTTAGGCAGTCTGTCTTTGTTGGCTGTTCTTATTTTGGGATAGTTGTAGAAGATGGCATTTAATCTGGCAGCATTAAATGTATTTTGTACGGCTCTTCTTAGTTTCTGAGTCAAGATTTCTTCAATGGTGTCATTTATGAATTGTAGTTTTATGAATAGTACCCACCGTCCATTAGAAGGTACACGTTCAAGTACCGAAGTTGTATGTCATATTAGTCGTAGTCAAGTAGAAAACATAACAGTTCCATATCGAGTATTAAATTTCTCTTTGTTAACTGTCTTTTAACTTGTTCAGTTTCATTGTAATCTATTTAAAAAATTTCCACACAGATACCGTATAGTTGAATTTTAATCGTTATTTCTTTGTATGTTTGTGCGTCTATGTGTTGTTTAGTCCAAATCGATTCAAATGAATATTCCTTCGCATCAGTCAAATTCCATAAATAGTAACCATCATTCAGGAGTATATGAATTGAGCACATCAGGCGAATCGTCTAGTCTAGGGAATAATGATAAACTAAATAAATATACTATATTAGATAAATATGATGATCAAAAATCCAAACCATCATCTATCATCCTACCTGATTATCCTCTTAATTCAGTAGTAATAGCACAATCGGATGAGGATCCTTTATTAAGCATGTCCAGTGCAACTCCAGCAAGTCGTGATATGGGTTATTGTAGTGATCTGTTAGTATCGTCACCTTCCAGACCTAATGTCGAAGACAGAGTCATAGAACAAATTGAATATTGTACAGAGAACAATAGTAATAATAATAATGTTCACCATAATAATGATGACGATTATGCAGATTTGTTGAAATTTGAAGATTTATGTATGGATAAATTAAACTCTGTAGTTCATCAAGCTACATCATGTGATTCAATAGTTTCTTTGTCGAATAAACCGGAAATTGAAATTCCTTCTTTATCATCATCATCATTGTCGTCAACATCATCATCAATATCCGTCTGTCCATCGTCTATAAATACTTCTGTTGCTACTGTTAAACCCACTACTATTACTACCTCAAATATATCATCTGTAATACATTGTGAAATGACGGCATCACAGGTTGCAGATTGGCTTTGTCAATCAAATTTTGAAAATCTTCTTGAAACGTTTAAGAATTTCACAGGTAATATTACTTAACATCATTTTTTTAATCTTTAAATGCTTGTATTGTTGTCGTTAACGTTAGGTGTTTTTTTTAATGTTTCGACAACGAATGTATTTACGTTGCAGTTGTTGTGTTGCAACTATACCACTGGAACTAAATTTCAAATTGATTAAATTTAAGAGTATCTGATTGATGTGTTATGACCTTGGGTATGTCTGGGTTTGCTATCACGCGACCTATCTACCAATCCGGATACGACTTATACGAATCTCCACACTAGGCCAACCAATGACGTTCAACCGGTATGGGCAGTCTAGCGTCCTTATTGGTCCTATGTACTACGAGCCCTTCCACTTGAGTCCAGAACACAATACCAGCTTCGAATCAGAGCAGATCGTTTATTTCAAACATACTCGGTTTATATATCAAACAGACAGACCACAACACACCATAATTTAGAAAGTAACATGTGTACACAAAGAAGCCAAAAAGTGGCTGTGAACGAGGGAGATAATAATTAATAGACTGAACATAGATTAAGAACCGTAAATCGTATAATAATAAATTATAGGTCAAAATAAAGCTTATAATAAGAGGAATATAAATATACATAATCTAATGATTGAATAGTTTTACAATAAGAATATTTATAGAATATTAGTCCACTAATAGTCCTCGGGAGCTACCTGTAATTTAATCTTCGCTCGGATATAATATAATGTATGTTAGTAGATGCATACTACTTGCCTGGGACCTGCGTGATAACTGGGGTTAATTTTTGAAGAGTTTGGGTGGTATGCCTCAAAATTATTCACAACGATGCAAATATATTTGTTTTTTATTTTCCTATCGATCTTGAACCCTTGTTTTAAAAACTATTCTCACTGTTCAGTCTTTCTCAAAATTATTTTTACCACATTATTTTGATCTTTATGGATATTTTTCTTGTTAATTCAGACTCGCATGATATGAAAACTCAGACCAACACACATAGGTTACGGGCTGTACGTTGATGACTGACTCACTAGCTAAGTGTTATCACTTTAAATTGAAACAATTTTGCTATGCATCTTTATTATAAAGAGCCTAGGTAGCATGCATGTCAGTCATCATCTTAGAATAAATCTGCTACCAGTTGTGTCTAAAATGTTGGCTACCATCATACCGTTCAGATCTTCCGATATTCATACACAGATTAAATCTCCTCGATTCGCTCAATTTTTATACAACAATGAATCCATTAGTCCCGTGTTCACCCTTTGTCAAATGACTAAATAGGTTTACAAGTTTTTCAGACCAACAATCGGGAATAGTTCTCTGAGATTGCTTGTTGAAAATTTTTTTAGCGTCGTGCTGTTCTTGTAAAGATTTTGTAGAATACAGTTACGTCTCTTTATTATTGCAAGCCAACAATGGGATTAGACAATGTTATTCATTAAGGGAATTCTTTTAATTTATCTTCTACGATATTCTGGAAACAGATCTAAATGAATGTGTTACTTGAAGATGATATTTTCAACCTTCAATATCACTAATCAAGTATTTCATAGGTCTATAGACATATTTCCTTCCTAATCGGTAATACATTTATTTATGATTAGTAAACTGACTACGTGTTACAGATGAAGAATATAAAGCGATAACTTTAACGACAACTGTTATACCACGTGCAATAGCCCTACGCGCTTCTACTCCCCATCTGCTTCAAAATACAAACCATATTAAGAAGATTTATTAGATGATGAGGTCAAAGATGACTAGATTTACATCCACGCTAATTCAGTTATCAGCTAAATGATTATTAGTTTTAGAGTTTTATTAACTGAGTTATCGTCACTCAATACAAAATTATAGTGAAATAATCAATGCACGTAAAAATGCATTGAAGAGCAAGTAACTGAATACAATCGATTTACATCGGAAGTTAACCAACATAAATCGTGACAACGGGTTGGATTTGACTTGGCAAACAACCCCCTTAAATTGGTTTGAGGATATGATATTCCCAATATTACGTCACTAATGTTGTAGTGGACGAGAACTCATTTGGAGAAAAAGTAATTTATTGTTAAATGAGAAATTACAATGTCTTCGTAAAATATGAAGATCATATACTTCATTTGCACATCTTCTATCAGTTGTCTCTTATGTCTGTCAACATAAGTTGGCTCTCGTCAGCTGCTTACAACCTGTCATATTTAAAATCATAATTACATAATGGGTTTAAATTACTTACATGAGAAGGTTTGGTTGGAAGTTATATTGAAGACATATTCATATAGTATAGCAAGGGTGTAAATAAATTGAATAGACTGAATATTGTAAATATATACCTTATGTAAAAGAACATTGTGACAACGGTTCAAAAAGCTAGAAATAAGTAAACATTGATAGGAATAAAATGAGTAGAGTTCAGTTGATAAAATAAGATTATTAATTTGGAAAATAGTAGAAATAAAACTCAATTGTGTAATAAATGCAAGAAAGATTTTAAAGAAAAAGAAAAAAAGAAATTAAGATGGAGCGAAGGAATGTTAGTCACCAAGGCAAGGAAAGATCAATAACCATCTCATTTTGAACACATAAATCAGGTTTTTGGCGTTTGATAACAATGGCTTCAGCAAACTTCAGAAGACTGGAGTGTGGCTGCTTACTAATCACCATGAAAGATTGCAAGGTATCAACCTGATGTCCTATATCAAGGAGATGTTTGGTGATTGCATTGTTTAGAGTCTTTCTTTCTCTTTTACCGAGGCTTTTTGGAACATGTTCAAAAAATCTGAGATATGCCCTCCTTTCTGTTCGGCAAATGTAGCTGCTTTGGCAGGTACACGTAAATTTTGACTTTTGATTGAGTTATTGAACATGTCTTACGCAGAATTAGAAGTTTGGCCGCCGGATAAGTTCTGGCTAGCGCAGTATTCAGTTTCCTGTTGATTGTGTTTGTAACATCATCACTTTTGAAGTTGAGATTTATAGTAATTGGTTTTTTATTGACCGTAATTACTTCAGTCTTGTATTCTTTACGCTTTTTATATTTGCCAATAAACTTTTTTGGGTAAAAGTTGTCTCGCAGGCATTTTTCCACGTTCATGAATTCTTCTTCCAGTTTGTCAGTGGAACATGTCCTTTCTGCCCTATAAAATAGTGTTTTAACTAATGCCTTCTTGTAACTAAGTGGATAAAAACTATTGAAATTTAGGTAAAGGTTATTCAAAGTACTTTTTCGATAAACCGAAAGTTGGACTGTCCCGTCTCTCCTACGTTTTATAGCAACATCAAGAAAGTGGAACATGTCATTCTGTTCGTGTTCCATAGTAAATCGTATGCTAGGATGAGCACTATTGTTACAGACAATAAACGTGTCATCAAATAAGAATGAATTCATGCTATTCTGCTAGAATGTTTGTTCTCGCTCTTTTCAGGATTCATCTGTATTAATATAACTTAATAAGAATATATTGTACGTAGTGAAGCCTGTATTTTCTTCGGTGGTGAGAACATAATTAACTCATTAGCGTACAATTTAGTCTTGTTGAGTTTTGTATATGGTTTAACTTTTAATAATAATTAAAGGTACATAAAGGTTTGGTTAGTGCCTAACTACTTTGTTTCTATGGTATTCTACATAACTAATGGTCTGTTTTCAAATTTTACCACCCGAGAATGCCTCAATATATCGATATTATATCGAATTTATTTTATCTCTGTAAACAATGAAATATCATCCACGATCCCGCACTCAGGATTCGAACCCAGAACTTTCGGTCTCGCGCGCAAACACCTAACGTCTAGACCACTGAGGCGGCACAACTGAGAAGTCCTATACTAGAACGGAACGGCCGTCTAGTGCTTCCAGGTTTTCAACGGTGATCTAGCTTAGATCGACTCATGGATTCAACTATTAAAATTACCACAATCTCCACAAACCCCATTTTGATATTAAAATATCAATTGAAATTAATACGAATTAATCATTCTGAGATAAATCTGGAGGATATGTCCATTTGATAGACGGTTGGAAACCTTAAACCTAGATTTAATTCTCTGGGCATTTTGCGACTTCATCGATAGAATTCTGAGTCAGCACTAAAGGATTAGACAAATATGATCAATCATTTATAAATATTTCTAGTAATTTCAGTGAAAACTTGAATGGTTAAAGATAAACTTGTATAGAAGTCATACAATTTCAACTATCTAATCAGTGTATGATATTCAAACTTGAATATGATGATCTTTTCTGGACCATGACTACCTAACTATTGAAATTCAAATCTGCAACAATTCTTAATCAGCTCTGTTTTATTTTTGCATTGAATTTCTAAGATTTTCTTAAATGTTCCCCCCCCCCCCGTTTTTTCTTTCTTTGATTTGAGATAGATTCGATTTTTTTTTCAATTTTGTGTTTTCTTCCCCTATGAGTTTACTTCCAGCTCCGTTGTTATTGCATATTATAACTTATTTAGATTTTTCTTTTCAATTATCTCATTAGGTTGTGATATACTTCGTCTAGCTAAAGAAGATTTATTGTCTATTTGTGGATCATTAGAAGGTTTACGATTGTATAACTCACTTTATAACAAGTAATTTGATTTGATATTCTTTTACATGATCAAACAGTTTTAATCGATTATTAATTGAAAAAGTTGGAAATATAACTCATAACGTAACTCAGTAGTCTAATAACTAATTGCTCTATGCAAGGTTACAGATTCGATCCCTAAAAGTGTCATTAATTCGGAGTAGTAACATACTAAAACGAAACAATAGTTCAAATCTCGCTTGTACACAATTATACCTTGACTGAGGTCAATCTATGGTGAATACCATCTACACATTGATTATTGCTTCAAGGTGATTTTGTGGGTATTAGTTTAGCTTGTAAATTGTTTTTATCTTAAGTTGAGATCACGTAATAAGCGCAGAGTGTATTTGATATGTGTTTCGTCCGAGTTCTGTAACTCGTCAATAGTTCTCATCCGACATTTTACATAGGCTACTTCATGTTATGTTTCTTCATTATCATTTATGGTCATATGCTGGTTAGAAGCAAACACAAATATGCGATTGAATTCTAATCAACACTCTCCATGTTTTGAAGTTCTACTGTGGCCTAGATCCCCTTTCAATTTTCAGTCGTTGTTCCGTACATAAGAATTGACCGGATTATTATAAACATTTCACAATGCAGATTTGAATGAGGTGGGTTCGAACTCACTAGGGAATATTAGTTCCCTAGAGATTGCACGTAGTCTTTGCCAGCAGGTGCCAAACAGGGTTTCTTGGCGACCACGTCCAATCACCTAACTCCTCAACATAATCCAGATGATGTCGAAACACTTAGACTAATAACCACAGTGAAAGTTAACCGATAAAATTCGATTAACGGAACTAAAATACTAGATAAACATGATATCAATCAACATTCCATGATCAATCAATCATAAAAAACTTTTCAGTTGACCGACCTATCTCAATTAAGCCAATTGTTAAATGAAGAAAGCGTAACCATCCATAGTGAGTTAATGAAGATTTGTAGCTCGTTATGTGGATGTTGACTAAATAAAGTTGAGTTCTCTGAGCTGAATAGTTTAATTGCGAAGCTTTTTTATCGTTTTGGACAACATCATTAGCACGCATTTCAATTGTTGTACAAATACCTCGTCCAGTCTGTTCTAATAACTCTGCTTTCAACTAGTTCACGAATTTTTTGTCCTTTATATGATAGTTTGTTCCAGTGTTGGCTGTTTTGTTCAAGTTGCAAAAATGACAGTTCAGCATTCTAGCAATTTATTTAGATCTTATTATGATATATGCAACGTTGAGCTCATGACGTGGTTGCCACATTTATGGCATCAACTTTTACTTATGTAATTCGATATGGTGATTGGTTTAACTTGATTCCCATTGACCTTGTGCAATTGCAGTCGCCTAATAACTGAAAGTTACACTAATGACGCTTTAATATTTTCATTTTATTGTATTTATTTTGAATCGGAAACTATTTAAGTAGTATACTGAATATAGATGTTTTATTATGATGTTTCTTAACAATTATTAATCATATGTTTTTCGGGTATTATTTATTCTGTTTTCTTTTTTTTAAAAGACCTACAGTGCCAAGATGTACACTATACGTATGCTTGAAAGGAGAAACAAGTATGTTGTAATGAGTTATTTTTTTACCTTTCCTTCTTTTAGGTATTAATATTTTTTAATAGAATATCGTAGTAAGCTAGTCTGATTAGAAATTTTTAGGTAACTGAAATCAATCTGTCATGAAAGTGTGCTATCATAATATTGCTATTCCATGTACTCACTGCTTCTACTATTTTTACTACTACTACTGACCTATTAATGTACATTAGTAATTATGTAATTGAAATATGACTTTCACTGTGATGGAATATTGGGTTTAGTATTAGAAATGACATTTGAATAATCGTTATTAAGACTCTCTCTTGATTTTCGTATTTAAGACTCCTCACATCTCGCTACACTCTGGGGACATTTTTGCGGTGTCTAGTCATTGAGTTTGGTGATTTGAGGAATTTTAGTGTCTTAGCGAAAGTTAGTTTACTGACTTAAATGACTGATTGAACATCTCGATGCACTCTGCCTTGTCGAGTTTTTCTTAAACTCCTCAATTCTAACTTCAAACAATTTACTCATATTGCGTAATTGTCTTACTCTACTTATGGTCATAATCCGGAAATCATGGTTTTAGGAATCCGTAAAGTCAGGGACTACTTTTAAGATTGAAATTTTGTAAAGATTATTTAATTGTACTACCTTATCAGTCAGTCAGTCAGCTACAACGTAGGACTAGGCACATATGTGCATCGGTCCAGGTTGCCATACCGCATCAGCACAACAAGATGAACACCAGATTCATAACAGTGGTTAGGTAAAAAGTGGTAATATATAAGAGAAAAATTGCATATAGAGATATAGTACAAGAAGAAAGAATTGGTTCGTAGAAAGAAAGATATTATACGATTTTAATCTCTTAGTCTAAGGGAAGACAGGGAGTGTATACACCGACGCCATTGTGATCGATTCTGAGCCATTTCACCAAGAGTCTCCAACCATCGGTTACGATAGTCACGCGGACCCCAACCAAGTAGTCTGCATCTACCAACATGGCTCAGACTAGAAGTTAGTGACTTCAAGCACTGATGCCACGTTTTGGTTTGGCCGCTCCTAACGTTCTTCCAACCATCCCCTACACCGGATAGCATTGCACGTCGTGGTAATCGGTGTTCAGGCATACGTAACACGTGGCCCAACCATCTCAGTCGATGAAGATTCATAACCTCATCAACTGATTTACCATCATTTCCTAATACCCTGCGTCTAACTTCACTATTACTTACCCGGTTATCCCAGCAGACGCCAGCAATATTTCTAAAGCATCTGTGGTCAAATACTAATAGCTTACGAGTGTCTTCTATTCTTGATGGCCATGTTTCGCTGCCGTAAAGTAAGACGGAACGGACTGCCGTACAGTATACTCGTCCTTTTATAGATAGACGGATATCTCGCCTTCGCCATAGGTGACGTAAGCTGGCAAAAGCCAAACGAGCTTTTCGAATCCGTGCTGAGATTTCGTCCGATACCAACCCATTAGGGCTGATCAGACTTCCAAGATAAGTGAAGTTGTCAACGCGTTCGACCACTTCACTCCCTATCCTTAGTTCAGGTGTTAACGCAGACCAGTCCTGAAGCAACAACTTGCATTTAGAGGGAGAGAAGCGCATTCCAAACATCCTGGCATTGTTGCTCAGTGCTACCAGAAAACTGCATTTTGTCAGCGTCTTCACCAAACAGGACTATGTCATCTGCGTATTCTAAGTCGATAAGTGGACCTCCTGGATGGAGATCAATACCCGAGAACTCAGTCGACGAGAAAGTTATTTCCATCAGTAGATCTATGAAGAAGTTAAACAAAAATGGGGAAAGTGGACATCCTTGACGGACACCACTTGATGTTGCAAAAGTAGATGACAGTTAGCCATAAGCTCGGACTCGACTAGTAGTGTTCGAGTAAAGAGCCTTCACAAGGTTTATGTACTTCTAATGTACGCCTTTCAGTGACAGGCACTGCCAAAGAACCCGTCGATCTACAGAGTCGAATGCTGCTTTATAGTCAAGAAAGACCACCATTGTCGGATGTCGATAACTATGCCTATGTTCTAGAACCTGACGAATGGTGAATATGTGGTCGATGCAGCCACGACCAGGTCTGAAGCCAGCTTGATTTTCTCGTGTTTGCAGTTCACGAGTCTTAGTTAGGCGTCTGATTATTATTGAGGCTAGTATTTTAGATATTATATTAGTTAAACTTATCCCTCTATGGTTGTCACAGGATGATTTTGATCCTTTCTTATATATTGGGACGATAAGTGATTGTGACCAGATGGAATAACGTCTAACTCCCAGATCTTAGCTAAAATATTAGTCAACTTAATCGCTAAAATTGGACCACCATCCTTAAAGACTTCTGAGCCAGTCCATATGGACCAGCTGCCCTTCCTCGTTTCAGATTATCTATAGCCTTTTGAATTTCAGCAAGAGTTGGGGGACCTACTTCAATGTTTTATTCACGCTGTCTGGGAATGGAGGGTAGTTGTAGAGTAGCTGAAGGCCAGCTGAACTGTTCTCTGAAATGTTCCGCCCATCGTTCTAAACGCCTGGACTGAAAGCAGATGAGTGTATCGTCTTTTTCCGATATAATCTCACTTACACTTGACTTATTAATTCCAGTTTCTTTTATTAGTCTGTAAAGCTGTCTTGTGTTCCCTATAGTCGCCGCCTTTTCCATCTCTTTTGCTTTCGTTGCCCACCACTGCTCACGGTCGTTTCTTAGACTCTTTCTTAACCTAGATCTGATTTGTTGTCGCTCTTCATCATGTTCCGAACCTGATGGGACGAGTTTGCGAGAATCCATCAGTGTGATAGACTTTGAAGAAATCCACTGGTTCTTTGAAACTCTGTGGTTTAAGTTGCTAATAGATGTCACTGCTGCTTCCACAGCTGCTTGTATGTCTTTCCAAGCAACATCTGGGTCAGCCTCGTCTTCAGAACTACCTAAGTGTGAACTCAGTTATTCTTGGAACCTATTTTTGGTTTTCTCGTTACTCAACTCAGTTCTAATGGGTCTTTTTAATGTGACTTTTTTGCGTCCGGTGAGGCGCAAGCAGATGCGTGCCCGTATTAGGGCGTGGTTGGAGTCCAAGCAGGTACTCCAGAATGAGCGACAATCTTCTACCGACCCTCTCCAACGATGACTGATGGCAATATGGTCTATTTGAGTCCATCGTTGGTTTGGTGTAGGGGGTCGCCATGTTAGACGATGTCTCTCCTTATGCTTAAAATTTGTGTTTGCTAAAAACAAGCGATTGTCTGAGCACAGTTGCAGCAGACGGTCACCATTATCTGTTCGCTGTGCCGGAATGCTAAAATATCCACCTAAATGCCTTTCTGTTTGGTTTAAGCTACCTATCTGAGCATTAAAGTCACCCCTACGAGTACTATGTCTGAGCGTTTAGCTTTCTGAAGAAGTTCAAAAAGCTTTCTGTAAAATTAATCTTTCACATCATCTGAGCTGCAGTCGGTGGGAGCGTAGGCAGAAACGACAAAATGGCAACGACGTGTGTCCCTATCCTTCCGAGTTCTTACGGAGCCGTTTAGCCGAACAGCACATAGACGACTGTTGATGGGGATCCACTCTAGCAGTGCTTGTTCCGCCCTCATGCTTAGTGCTATGCCTACACCTGCCAGTCCACGAGAACTGGCCATCGGGTCACCAGATACACGTAGGGTGTATCTCGTTGGCTCTCCGTTTTGCCGAGGTGAGGTCAAGTGAATGACCACACTGGAATCCTGTTTGCGTGTTTCGGAGACACAGCATACATCGATGGAAAGAGACTCTGGGGTTTTAGCCAAGGAAGCCTGCTGACCGATTTGACATAGAGTGCGTACGTTGAAAGCTCCAATGTGTAATGTGGAGCGAGGTTTCAGTAGACCTGGGACAGAGTTTTGAGCACTAGAATCGTTGGCTATGGTGACACTTGAGGAAGAAGCCGAAGGAGGAAGTTTAGGGTTGAAAGTCGATGTAGGAGGAATAATAGGAGCTGAAGAGGAAGGTTGATTATGAATACAATGGTCTTGGGTGCTGTTAGAGGTATGAGGGCGGTTATCACTTCCCGGTTTCCCACACCGTGGAAGGGTTCTTCTGGAGGTACCTGAAAAGGAAATTGGATTAGAGGCGGTCTCAGCGACCTGAGAGCGTGACCGCAGTGCCCAAGGGACAACTGCTTGAGGCCGGTCGCGCACGGCTTTTTCGTGGAAGGTTTTTGACGTGTTAGCTTCGTTCTTCAAAGAGCCTTACCGCCGGAGACGGAAATCCGTGATATAAGGTGAGGTGTGTATTTTTAGGGTCGATTTTTTCTAACACCACCCCTCGCTGTGGGAAGGCAGCATCGCTGTCATGCTGGTTGTCTGAAGGAAACACCTTACTGCTGTCACACCTCTGAACAGTCAGCAGTACGACTTCGCCTTCGGACCTTAGGTTTGTTGCTTTTAGTCTTACCGCTCTTCAACCGACCTGTCTGACATGGTAGGACCTTGAGGAACAGTTGTTCCAGCCAGTATAGCTCGGTTGCTTCATCACGATAGGCAAGCCTGACCACCACGTCAAGGTAGCAACAACGGTCGGGGTACTACCTTATACACTAGAGTAGTTCTATCAAAATAATTATTTTATCATCATATCCATTCCCACTTTCCCGACCATAAGATATGTATTACGTATGCTTATCCTCTGACTACCTTGATGCACGATGGTTGCTAGTGTAGGAGTGGGTTGAAAAAAAGCTAGGGGCGACCAAACCAAAATATGACATCAGTCCATGAAATCACTGACAATTGGACTGACCCATATTAATTGATCTAGACTACCTGGTTGGGGTCTGCGCGATTATCGTAACCAATCGTTAAAGACTTTTGGGCGACCATATCTTAAAGTCGTTCGCAATGACAGAGGCGCACTCACTTTTTGTCTTTTCTTGAATCCTAAGTTTCTGGATTCCTTTTAAATATTTTTTACTATTGCACTAATTCTTATTTTCTCGAATAGTATCTTTGATACCTAACTTTTTTATTACAACTGATACTATTAAGTACCTCGATTACTCTAGAATTTCCCCTGATATTTTCATCTCATTTTGATGATGGGGTGTAGCGATGTGAATCGATGTACATATATACCAGGTTCTACGTTGCTTATATGAAAACTGACTGATTAACTCATCCCTACTTTATTTGTTTGTGTTTTGTTTACATAATTTTAGTTTATCATGCAATTATGCTCTATGAAATGAAAGTTCATGAATTACGTAGTCGAATGGCTTTTATATTATCTTGTCGTCAAGAATGCATCAAAATTATATGCCTTGTCACAGAAAATGATATTCCTGTCCTATTAACTGATGAGGTTGGTTACTTATGTTTTTCTGTTTATGTTACTGATTTTTTTCTACTAACTACAAATGAATGTGGGATTGTAGATTGTAGCAATGGCATTAATAAACTGAATATTAATTGAATTGAAATCGTAGTAATATCAGTGATAGATTGGATAGATATTGACGAACGGAAATAGAAAAGAATGAATTAATTCGACTGAGATATTAACTAGAATTTGTAACTTGACATCATAATCCCATGCAACTTGTCTAAGTCGGCAACCGTTCAAATTCATGGGAAAAGTCTAGAATTTTATTGTGATAATCATAGATAAATCAGTTTGACCAATTGATGTTTCGTATAGTGGAGGTAAGATGTAATTTAACAGTGAATATGAACAAACATACCTAACCTACTGACGATTTAATATGCGATCTCCTACCAATCATTGGTTTCTGAGTATAGATTGTTTGTAATTGTGTTGAATAAAATATTGTCTAGCTTGTACTCTGATCATCTATTTTTGGTCGTAAATCATCTATTTGGTATAGCGTTATCCAGTCTGTGTATATAACATATCAGTTGAGTATTTAGTTTAGTGGTAGTGAAATCTCAGTCCAGTTATCGATCGTATTATTTTGCCACGAAATCACGTTTTTTTCTCTGAAATAGTCTTTTCAAAATAGCTAACATTTTATTATCTGTTCCCTTGATGAGTTGCAATAGTTGACTTGTGTTACCTAGTAGCACTTCATTTTTCATCTCTTTAACTTTCGTTGAGTTATGGTAATAATGGTTCTATTAAATCTAATATAAATATTTAGTCATTTCTTCATCATGGATAGTATGAATAGAATGAAAATTCGCCTTGGTATTAATTGTACATTGAAGTGAAATCATCATTAATATTTGTCTATTTGGAAATATCAGAGTGATGACTGAAGTTATCTAAAAAAAAGATAGAAGACTAATTTATATTATGTTGTAGTGAACGAGAACTCAGGTGGAGAATACCAGTTTAATGTTTAATGTAAAATTACTCAGTGTTTTCGTAAAATATGGAAATCATACATTAAATACTTTATTATCACATCTTCTATCAGTTATCTCTCTCTCTCTCTCTGTTTACATTCCTGTTCTCTTCTATTTAAACTTAATCTTCTGCTGATAGGCATTCCACTTCTGTTTGGTGCTACATACTACTTGTATCCGTCAACATAAGTAACATACATCACAGTATGACTTAGGAATTGTTCACAGTAGTATAGAAGCATCCGTTTTATATCTTCCTTTAATATTGACCATCTAAATAATTATTCCGATCTCTTTTACTATACATCTTGTCAATTTAAATCTAGTCGTCATAACGTGGCTTATCTACTTGACCTAACGGATATTTCTATCATTCTTTACTTTGATTTATGATCAAGCAAATTGTATAGTAAATAATGTGTAACATTCTCGTCAGATTGCTATGCAATCTTATTGATTCATTCTAAAATATCTTAATTTATCATTAAAACAAAATCAATAGAGAAATTAGTCAATTAATCAGTTAGTTGGTCAATTATAAATAACACTGGAACATAACCATTGTTAACGTTCATTTCAGTGATCACATATGTCTATCGTCACTACACAACATTACAAAATTAAACTTTATAAGACAGAATTTGAAAAACTTTAAATAATAAAATCAAGTACATGGTGGTGGTTGTAGTATGGTACTTACTTACTTACACCTGTTACTCCTAATGGAGCATAGGCCACATGTAGTATAGTACTTGCTGTAAATGTTAGATTTTGTTTTATGTTGTGATTTGTTAATTAGATCGTGACACAATTATCAGTTAGAGAATAGTAACTTATATCGACTAGATCAATGATGTATAAATACGCCTAAGCCTGTCTGTTGAGTCCACAATACAATCTCAGCTAACATTCTATCAATTATATATTTCAGATATACAGATTATATATATATACAACCAAATCAGATTGCATCGTACCATAAAATAGAAAATAACATTTGCATTTTTAAACTCTAATCAGTTATTATTATTATTATTACTTTACACAAGTTTTCTTGAGTATTATTCAGTCTATTATTATGCCCTTTGTGTTTGTCGCTTTTCTTCATATTTGTCAATTGGACCCATTAAAAATTTTCTTCCTTACACCTTGATTAGTACGTAATCTCATTTGTTATTTATCCTCGAATCCATTTTGGTGATGCAATTTTTTTCTGTCCTCCTATAGACTTATACATCTACCATATAAACGAATGTACAGCTTAAGTAAATGATCTCGTCGAGAAGAGAAAATTTTCGTCGCTGAATTCTCATTTTCTTATTCAATAACATTTGTATAAGATCAAGCCAAAAGTGGTTGTAATTGTGAGGAACTATGACCAATAGATTGAGAATAGTAAATCATATAACAGTAACCAATAGGTTAAATAAAAGGAATATATATATATATATATATATCGTTTAGTTTCTTAACAGTTATACAATAAGAATATATGTATAATATTAGTCCATAAATAATTACTAGCAGTTACCATTTCATTTATTCTCGTTCATATATAACAGATTTATTGCATTGAATCATTGGATTACAAAGTTATCATCTTATTGTTTTACTGTATTTCATGTTTAAGAATATATAGTTAGAAAATGAGGATGTATGAATTCATTTACATGCTTTTAAGAGATCTTTTATTATAGAAACAGTCAACTTTCATTTTGTTCAATATAGATTGTTATTTCACTAGTATTTACCATTAGAATTATAATTATACTTGATATATAAGTTTTTTTTATCAATATAATTCTATTCAATACAATCCTACTATGACTTAAATATCACATGACAAAATCGCTAATCAGAATATCGACATTGTCCTTGTGCTAAACCAGTGATGCATTAGCCAACACAACACAGCTTTGAGTCCATTCTGAGGTTTTTCTCATCCAGCATAGTCCGTTCAGTCCAGGAAACAAATATCAGCCTCCTTTATGTGAATCATATATTTCAGACATATATATATATATACAAGTAGTTACCATTCATTTATTCTTCACTCGGATATAACATAAATCTAATTAGGTAGAATGGATTCAAAGCTTTCAACTTACAGCTTATAAACACAATGATGTGTGGGCATGGATGATAATGATTAGTTGTCTGCTTAGTCAGACATGTAGATAGTCTGATAGGTGTGTCAGATGAGCTACATATTCCCCTATCCTTATTATTATTAGGACACTCATTATTGTTAAATTGTGTCATGTTTTTGGTATGGAAATACATTTACGTTGTGGTCAAGCTAATCACATGTTCTTGATCTGAGCTGTGTTGAACTCCTATAGAATAGACACTGGGAGGGAATCTAGTGTAGATTAATCGTTTAAGGTAAATTATAGTCCCATACGTGTAAACATGGAAAACCAATCGTTATAATGTAGTGAACAAGAATACCAGTGGGGACGATGGAATGTATTTAACATAAAATTACAGAACTTGTTAATAAAATCTAACAACCAGATAGTAAATGTTCAACTCGCAAAATGACCATCAATTGTCTAAAAATGGCCCAGACTTCATTGTTCTTGTATTTTCATACAAATCGCGTTCTATTTTTCTATTCTTTACTGTTCGATCCTCTTGTCTCTCTACTGCCAGACATTCTGTTCACAACTAACATCATCTACTACTTATAGTCAATATAAGTAGTACACATCACAACAACATCAAACGAAGTAAAATCCAAGCGTGATATAACACATAATATCCCAATGAGTAGAAAAATTAGATTTCCTGACATTTCGTGGCTTAGTGTAAGTCACTTCTTCAAAGAAAAAATAACCAAACTTGGTTATTTATATACTACTTATAGTCAATATAAGTAGTACACATCACAATAACATCAAACGAAGTAAAATCCAAGCGTTATATATAACACACAATAATTTTAATCAATAAAATTTTTTCCCCATAAAACTTTATTTATTTAAACTGAATCTATATAAAACTACTTTTTATTATTTTTTCTTTCTTAAAAAATAGCTCATTGTTCAATTGAAAGATAAAAGTACCCATCAAATTACATTGAATAAAATTTGTTGCAATAAAATTAATTTATATTTAAAACCTACACAATAATAAAATGACAAAAAGAAACAACTTTTTTTAATTATTATTATGATTGAATTGTACAAATTTGTTTGTTTGTTTTATCTTGAATATGTCAACCATCTTCTTGTTTTGTGATTTCATTTTCTCTTTTGTTTAAAAGATTATGCATTTGTTATTTCATATGCATCTATTATATATAGACTTCATGAATTGAATATATATATGATGAACTGTTCATTTTCATGTTTGTTTTCGATTATTTTTTTAGAAATGGGGAAACAAATCTATTTTATTGATTGTTCTTTTTTTTGAATTATCAGAATGAGGATTTGTAGAGATGGTAGTAATTTCAATGGTTGAATTTGTAAGTTGGTCTGGAAATAATGGATGGTTATTTCATCCAAGTATAGGACTATCCAACAGTCTGTATCAATGACCTTACACGCGGGATTCGAATGAGTAGCATCCGATCTCGCGCAAGAACACTTAACCTTTAGACCACTAAACCGGTAGTCATGTCTAACTTCAGTCGATTCACAGCTATTCTTCTATTGTCTGAGATAGATAACTGTTTCGATAATGTAATAAGAAGACGAAGATTATCAGAACTGTGTGATATATTTGCCCAATACATATGAATGTTTTTAATTTCAAATTCAGATCTTAACAACTAAATTTAAATCTTGTGTCAATAATAGGCATGAACGCAACGAGAACCTGGATAGTTACAAGCCCCCAAATGCCCTGGTACGGTCAAGAGTTGTAACGGCCCATTCTCCCTCTCGAAATGGCCACGCGTATACAGCCTCTGTCAGAGAAGTCCTACTCACTGTCTTATCGCGGCATTACTGTTTACAAAATTGAGAGGACGAAGAGCGAATGTTCAGCGCTTTAACCGCGTTGGTGGACACGGAGGGTCTACCTAGGGGAGTTGGGAAACCCTGATTCCAAACCAATGATGCATATGGGCTCCAGTATCCTGAAAGAACAAATGGTGTGTGAACCAATCTTTGTCACCGGCTACTATGAAACTGCATCTCCTTACGACTGTCCATTGCTTTGTGGATCAGACCTTTAGGTCGAAGGCTCCGAGTGTGGCCCCTCAAGAAAACCATCTACTTAGGTCTGGGCACCCGGGTAGCTCTCATACAAATCAAATAAGATTTGTGTGGCGCATATGTATATGGTGCCCACTCGTACTAATGTGTTCAAATAAATAGTTACACGTATCGTTAGTTAAGTGATATGGTTAACAATGACTACTGTATAAGCAAATGTCAGTTTTACAAGTAATTGATACGTGTCATGATCTTAATTATAAACATTTTAGCCCTTCGAAGATAGATATTCATCTCATGAGTGATGATCGAATATACTGTTAAACCTTTACAGAAAATGCAACCAAGCTATCGTCAGCACTTACTTTCACACGTTCATTTAAATTCGTAAGTACATTATTCCACTTGCGATTGGTTCATTGAAAAAACATCAGCTTACATACACGACTTATCAGAATGCACAACACACCAAATAAGAAATCATACCTTAAACACAACCATCACATAAACAACAGCGAAGTAAACAGCACATAAATAACTAGCAGTAATTAGGGATTGTCAAGTGTATGACAACAACGAGCAAGTCCACTGAAAACACACAATAAAGAGAATACAGAAATACTAGCAAGAGGTTATTTAATTATACAATAGAAATAATAATTATAATTGAGAAGAAAAGTCCTGGCCTCCCCATTATACGTACCGTGATTAAGCTTCATGGTCAAAAACGATAACGTTGAATTGTCAATCAAATCTATTTGACTAGTCCTCTACTCAGTGTTTTACAGTTATACCACAAAAATATTCCATAAAATCTGATTTTAGAACAAACCAGTTTGTCATATGCAACAAAATCTAAATTAATTTAATTCCCAATTACACAATTTCATAATCATAATCCACAATCTAGGAAATATTCTTAATTATACTAATTTTAATAGTTGAGATCATGAGTCAATTAAACCCTAGTGGTTGAGCATTCGCACTCGAAACTGATAGGTCTTTGGGTTCGAATCTCGCGAGGCGAGGTTTTGAATGCGCACTGCTGATGAGTCCCACAAAAGGACAAAATGGCCATCCAGGTTTTCCTTACTTTCAATTGACTTATGATCTCAACTATTGAAATTACTATAATACCCACAAAAACCCACTCTAATTTTAATTATATTACATAAGTGACCACCGATAAATTCGCATTGCTTAAGTGTTTACATTATAATTAATTGAACATTTCTAATGCACTATTCTATACTCTCATATCAAAGTGTTTTGAACTACTAACAGTGCTTAATGTGAAATTTTTTGACATTGTTTTTAGTGGGTTTTTTTTTTGTATAAAAGCCATAAAGATGATTAAATCTAATAAATTGTAACAAAGTTTATTGGTGGTCATATATCAAGATTCAACTTATAGACTTTGATCGCTGAAAAAAAAAGATTTGGAGAAATATTGCTTAAACTTTATATACATAAACGTTTATAGTAATAGAACTATAGTGTTCTTTGTTTATGTAGTTAATCTGTCAGTCCTTCACGACTCCCTGGTTGAGGTCCTAGAGATAGTGCAAAACAGTGGTTAGAGACGTTATCAGCTATGGCTTAGAATAGAAGCCAATGGCGACGCTGCTGTAACTTGATTTTACTTAATAAAAAAAGACGTAACCTCCTTAGGTGGAAGAATTCTCTGTGGCTGTACTTTTGCTATTTTAACTTACTTACGCCTGTTACTCCTTGTGGAGGAGCATAGGCCAACCACCATCATTCTCCATCCAACCCTGTCCTGGCCAATCTCTTCCAGCTATTCAAACTTTTCATATCTGATTCTATTTGACGACGTAATGTGTTCTTTGGCCTTCCTCTTTTCCGCTTACCTTCAGGATTCCAAGTTAGAGCTTGCCTCATGATGAAGTTTGATGATTTGCGTAATGTATGTCCTATCCGTTTCCATCGTCTTTTATTAATTTCTTCTTCAGCTGGAAGCTGGTTTGTTCGCTCGCTGAGAAGGCTGTTGCTGATGGTATCCGACCAATGGATGTTGAGTATCTTGCGTAGACAACTATTTATAAATACTTGTACCTTCGTGATTGTGGTTGTACTAGTTCTGCAAATTTCAGCTCCGTACAGTAGAACTGACTGTCTTGACGTTCGTACTGAAGATTTTCACTTTGATATTGGTTGACAAACAGTTGTTTTGAGTTCCATATGTTTTTCAATTGTAGGAATGCGGGCCTTAATTTGTCAATCCTTGTATTTACGTCTGCATCTGAACCTCCTTGTTCATCGACGATGCTTTCCAGGTATGTGAAGGATTCTACATCTTCTGGAGTTTCACCATCAAGAGTGATTGGATTGCTGTTCTCCGTATTGTATTTGAGGATCTTGCTATTTGAACTAGCCCTTTCATTATTGTTATTGCACTATCATACACTAATTTCTGTTCGTTATTGTTCCCCTTTTTCCTATATACACCTTAGATTCTCTATCTCTTCACATTCTCATTATTATTGTGTGGTGCATTTGTAACTGGTGCCCCAAATGCCCTAGTATGGCTGAGAATGGGGTGGGTTCGCCCTCCCTCTCGAAATTCTCTCACACGGCCGCGCGTATACAGCCTCCGCCAGGGAAGTCCTACTCACTGCCTTCTCGTGGCGGGGGTGTTGTTTACGAAATTGAGAGGACGAAAAACGAATGTCCGGTGTTTTATCCGGATCCCAAACCAATGGTGCATATGGGCTCCAGTATCCTGAAAGAACAAATGGCGTATGAACCAATCGTTAGTCACCGACTACCATGAGACTGAATCTCCTCACGACGCTCCACTGCCTAGTGGGCTAGACCTTTAGGTCAAAGGCTCGGGGTGTGGCCCCCTAAGAAAACCACTCGTTTCGGTCTGGGCACCCGGGCAGTATCACAGCCCACACACACAAATATGGTTTGGCGCATATATATTTGGTACCCTTTTGTACAAATATTTATGTGTTGAAATAAAATAATGTTTTCAAATAAATAATGCAATAAACCAACTCAGTCAGTCAGTAACAACGTAGAACTTCATAAATAAATAAACCAACTGAATTAGTTAATGCAGTATACTTTAATTTCCGAAGATAATTTAAAGGTTAACCTACTTGATAATAAGTGTAATTCACCTTATTTTCTAGTTTATTAATTTCGAGTAAACAGAGGTTATTTTGGCAAGGAATAGAACAATTTTCTGAAGGGAAAATAATCTTCAGAACGTTGTTATTTTCTGTTACTATTAACTAATCACTCATGATCTAAATGAAATGTCTTTCTTGGAATCACACTATAGAATAAGAAAAACTAACAGTCTCTTTGTCTACCAGAGGATGAATATACAGGGTAGCAAGTTGGTCATCATTAGTTGATTATAGATAGTTTCGGAGAATTACTTATGTAAGGTATAATATCTTAGTAAGTAATGCTGTAATAATATAGTGTATTGCAAATCAAGTTTGAAAATTTGTTGGTGAGGACCTATCTTTTCATCACTCAGTTATGAGTTAACTAATCACAACAAATCACGATGCATAATGCTAGCTGGTTTACGAGTGGGTTGGAAAACAGCTTGAGGTATCGGAACCAACACATAGTGTTAGTATATGAGTTCATTGACTACTGAACTTGATCCATGTTGTTAGCTGCAGACTTCTCGTATGGGATCCGGGCGATAATAATTTCTGATTGAAAAACCCAGGTGATTTGGCTAATAATTAGGTCGCACTATTACACCTACTTTTAACCTTCAGTTAAACTCCTCTTTGTACATTTTATTGCATCGATTCATTCCTTTTTTCCAACTAGTATTGACTGCACTTAATCCTTCTGATTATCATGATAAGAATTACTTTGACTTATTCATTTGGCTTCTCTAATTTCATTGTGTTGATTTATTATGTCAAAATTTACCAACTCACATTTGTGCAAGGTCTTAGGTCGTTTCTGTTCAACGCTTTTGGATAAAGTAAATCTGACCTATTTAAAGGTTAATAAATGTCAAAACTAAACAAGATATGCTCTGTAGATATGAATGTGAAGTATATTTAAAACTGTATATGAATTGTTTCTACTTTGCAATAAAAGTAGTCATCCTTGGATGACCATAGATCCATTGCCATTTTTTAAGACATGTCAGTTGGATGACTGATGTTAACTAGTTTCGTGCTAGTTGTTGTATCCATAGTCTTGATTGATTTATTATCCAGAGTGATTAGGT